GTAACCCCCCCTCCAAACAAACAAAAACAAAGGCAAATGCTGTAAGGAGCACGCCAAAGCAACAGTTGGCGACATAATCCTAACCTTGCAGAAATGTTGGCCAATCAGAAGTCTTGAAGCCAGGGCGTGAAAGCATAAACAAAGACGGTGGAACTGAAAGAGTTAGTACAAAAAGAAAGAACAGTCAGTGAAGGATTTGAACCAAAGGCAAAAAATAGTGTAACAATGGTTAAATGTTATTTTACAGTGACATGTTGGTTATCTCTGCACACTGTTGTTATTTCTTTAAGATACATGTTTGGTTGTGCTGCAGGAAAAAGGGAGTTAATGTGTGCAGGAAGGGGAGGGGGGGTCCTTGTTGTTGTGTGACTGTGCGGGGCTGAAGTGAGGGGTTACGAGGGCACTCTTCCCGGAGTTAACGGCCCGTTTGCCTGTGTTACCGAATAAACGGACAAAATGAGATCCAACCGTCTGGTTCTTGCGAACGTTACACTGGTGTCAGAAGTGAAGAAAAAAAAACCCGCAGAAAACGCCCGACACCCTGTTGCTGGCGACGCTGACCATCATGAGACACGAGGATGTTGCCGGACAAGATTAAGAAGGAGAGGGAGGTTCGCCCGCGCTCGCCTGCCCATAGAGTGAGGGAAACAGCGATGCGGCTGTCTGCTGAGCCTGGATTTTTTCGGGAACTTTTCGCACAGTCGCCGTGATTCCGGTGGGAGGGAGTCAACCTCGCTTGGCGCACCGTCACGTGATGTAAACAAACATGGCGGTGCCCAGCAAGCTGCGGCGAATATAAAAACGCCTAAGTTCAGCGGCAAGACGACATGGGAAGTGTTTATTGCACAGTTTGAGCTGTTATCTGTTGCAGCTGGCTGGTCTGAGGAACATAAAGCTTTCCAATTGGCTTTGTGCCTGTGTGAGGATGCAGCTGCATGCCTGCTGCTGCTGACCGAGGAACAAAGGGGAGATTATAATGCTCTGGTTGGGGCACTTCAGAGACGTTTCGGGCAGTATAACCAACCAGTGCTGCTGAGGTCAGAGTTCCACAACAGACGCAGATTGCCAGGAGAGCCCCTTCGCATTTTGGCCCATGAAGTCGAGTGTCTTTGCCGGAGGGCGTATGACAGCATGCCACCATCAG